TACATACATACATCTCTAACCATCACAGTAGTACGATGTGTAAGCGCACAGCCTTTTAGGAAGCGCAATTCTTGTTTTGTGGCTTTGAATGGGCATAATGTTTGTTGGCTTTAGTGATTATAGTAGTGCACCTTTGTGGAAATGTTGCTTTGTAGTCTTTTGCTGTTGTAGTAGTTGTTGTTATTGCAGCAACAATTAAATTTTTTATTTTATTTTACTTTCAACTTCCACATTTCTCGCAATTTTTGTATAGCCAAGAGTGCTGGCATTTCCGGCCATTGCATTGCTTTGCTCGCACTTAAGGCTTCAGCTGTTGCCGAAAGCTTCTTTCTGGCTTTACCAACAACTTTCGCTGTTACGGCCAGTAACTGGCCACTGCTGTGTAAGCTCTATGCGTTATGAACCACACTGGCCTGAATAATGTTTGCATTTGCTGGCAATTTGCTTTTGCTCTTCCAGTATTTTTTCCATGAGTCATTCCATATGAAAACGACGGAAAATACAAAATATCGTCGCGGATTCGTTTTAGATTTTGCTGTAATTTTTAGGGACTCTTGTTTAGGGTCCGGTCCCAAAGAACAGAATTTACGCAAAATTAAATTCTTAGAAACGCTCGTTTCCGCCTGTCTGAATCAAAAGTATAAAACATCGCGACTTCCATGCTTTAACAAATTTTGACTAAAATGTTTTCTTTTTAAGATATCTACCCACCTGGGGCATTTTGAAGGCTAAAGATGCCAGTTTTAATGCAAGCAAAGAAACTCGTATATTTTGTGAATTTTAATCGACCCTAGCGTTTTGACTGTTTTGAGTAAGCAGCTTATGTTACTCAGGAATTAAGTGTGCGTATCATAAGACGAAACACAGCTACGAGTCGACCCGACCAGCTCACTCCTTATAAAAAAAAATTGCTTGAAGTTGTGAAATTTTTTAAATTAGCAATATTTAGGTTAGGAAATGAACGCTAGATATAAATACGAAAATTAGGGAATCTATAGTTCGCATCGTTAACTTCAAGCGGCTGTACCGCTTGTTTTCTTATTTTCGTGTTTAGTACATTTGCAGGTGGTTTTTGTATAGCTAAAATTGGCCTATTTTATTATCTTACAAATTTTCGAAAATTCTCATAAAAACGGCGTTCGATATATCAATCTTACGTAGAATTTTCCGCTGAATCGAAATATGAGGGTGCTACATTGTGAAAAGGGAACGGTTTTCGGAGATTTTAAAATTTCGCTCGTTTTGTAATTTTAATGAAAATTTACTTAGTTTTATAATTATGCAAAGAAGAGTCCCTCAAAGTTACAGCAAAATCTAAACTGGGTCCTCGACTTCAATTAGACGATTTCATATGGAACGACTCCCATATATTTTTGTGTGTACTGGTATTCCTGTAGAACATTTTCTTTTAAGTTGCTTTGAATAAAGTTTTCATGGTAATGGTTTGTAGTAAGCTTTAAACTCTACCATTTCTATGCCGCACATAATCTTTCAAAGTTAATACAGACTATACATATATCTATGAATTTGTATGTTCATGGTTCTTAATTTTTTTTTTTTTTATTGGAGCTGCATAATGAAAACAAATTCGTATTTGTATTGTATTGTCGGCAATGGCAGGATGAGTATGAAAAATAGTTGCTGCTATACCCAAGTGATTTGCATGCAAGGATTAAAGTTCATTTCCGAGATTCCCAATCTTGTTTGCCCAAATTTTAGTTGCGGATTAATTTTTTAATCCAACTGTAAGTCAAGCGATGCAGCTGTAAAAATAACGTAAATTGGAGAAAAGAATACAGGAAAAGGATCATAAGTAAATTAGTAGTGAAGCCGCATGGCGTTTAAATGCCAAAATAGAATTAAAAATTTATCAAAAACAAATGTTGGTTTGGGCGTTTGTGAATTAAGCTAACGATGTATGTATAAAATTAGATCACACAGTGAAATCTGATTTTTGTAAAAAGTGCATATAAAATTAGTTGAGTAGCTTAGATTATAGCAGCACACAATATACCCACAGAATAAGGCTCCCCATTTTCCATTCGAGTCGCCGTTTTGAGTGGACGAAGTTAACCTATGAAATTTCCTAATTAGTTTTACATAACTTTTCTGCTCCACTTAACAAAGCGATACTTAAATGAAAATAAATAAATTGCAATCATTCACTTGCTGGCTAAGTTATTGGAAAAGAATTCCAGCACTGCAATTACTTTCAACTTCCTTATTACTTTTACTCAGGCTTTCTGCCACCACGAACAAAGTAATCTCCTTGTACTTACCTTATACATACTACGTGGGCATGTATTTATATTGTGTATGTAACTATGTTTGTATACGTAGGATTGTGTGTATAAAAATATGTAGTTACATATTTACATTCTTCGTTGCGGGCGACCTAAAATGCAAATTCCACCTACCTTTTATTCATCTTTCAGCAGGAGGCGACTCAAAACGAATTTGCTTTTATAAGTGCAATACTTCAGTTAAAATATTCGTACTTAAATACGTACATACTTACAGTATGGTATCATAGAGCACTATGGTTCTCAATACTTGGTATTCCATCAGCGCTTGACCCAACAAGCAGGCAGGCATTCATTCATTAAAGACAGCTGCTTAATGGAGGATTGTTACCATTTTAATGGCGCGGCAAGTGAAATGTTCGATGAAAATGGGAATTGAACGTTTATGTTGTGTGTGCGTATGTATGTATGTATGTATGCACAGTGACTCATAGATGTTTTCTTTTGCTTCGATTTTTTTACGATATTCATATGTATTCCTCGTAAATTTTTTTTCGCTAATATTTTATAATCAGCCTTATCATGAGTTTCATTTTCCCCGAACCGGTTCACTTTCCACTCCTGGTTTCCTTGGTTTTACTATGGTTGGATAACAAATTTTCGGGATAAGTTAGCTCAGTCTACAAAAAAAAAAACCTGTAAATCAAAACTTTAAACTTTTCAATAAGATTTTTTACAAAAAATTCATATAAGTAAATTTATAGCCCATTAAATTTTATTTTAGCAAAGTGTAAGTTTTAACCCTGAAACCCCTAAGACCATCCGTAGAAGGTGATCCCAAAATCCAATTTTATTCCAACAAAATTTTTTCACGATCCAGCCACCAAAGTTAATTTTGGTCGAGTGAATCAGCTCGAAAAAGGTGCGGGTTTGAGCATCCTAATTTGAATATTTTGACAGATACATTATAAATGACAGATAAATTATTTGTGATTTCGGTGTTCAATCGTTCAATCGAGTCAGGATTTATTATTTTGTTTTGTTAAATAAATAACTTGTATTCTGATAATTTTTTGACAGATTTATTTGTAACGGGCCAAAAAAGATAATGCAGGATAATGACCTCTTTTTGAATCAGCAAAATCGAAAAGTGTTCACTTATGTATCGTCGAACAAACGTATTTATTCACTAAAATGGTTCATCAGACAAATCGCATAAATGGGAAGTAAAGTATGATTTTCAATTGAGTACTACGAAAGGACTCCGACCTTCTGTTCAAAACCAGTTCTTTGTATCTCCCTTGTCCGCCGCAGACTCAAGCACCACTCTTACTGTTTACTGTTAACAGTTTTATTATATTTTTGGTCATGACTTCATACCAAGATCAGCAGTTTCGCTGTATCAAAACTATGTAAAACAAAACCGGTTTAACCGGTTTTTTCGCAAATTCAAAATCTGCAACCGGTTTTTCAAATTGCAATTTTTCGAATAACTCGAAAACCGGTTTTGGAAAAAGGCGAATAATCGAATACCCTACTGCATACTCTTAGAAAAATGTGATTAAAAAATTGTAAATTTTTATGAAAATTTTCTGAATTTTCCTTAATAGTCTTCAAAGTTTGGAATTTTGTTTTACAAGGCTTTTGTTGTAGAAAGAGAAATTAAAAAAAAAAATTTTACGAAAAAATTCTCTCAAACTAAAACACTTCTGCGAGTCCACTGTAAATAGTTTTGTTTTGAACAAGTCAGTATGGCGGAAAATGTAGGAACGTGCGGTGGAATTTAGCAATAAAAGCGGCTTTGCTATATTTTGTACATATTTTCATTTTCTTCTTGTACTAAAAACTATGTAAAATAAAAGCGGTTTTTTCTCATTTTCAAAATATGCAACCGGTTTTTTCAAATTGCAATTTTTCGAATAACTCGAAAAGCGGTTTTGGAAAAAGGCGAATAATCGAATGCAATACTACAATTAGAAATGTTTATGAAAATTTTCTGAATTTTCCTTAATAGTCCAAAGTTTTGAATTTTGTTTTACATGGTTTTTTTTTGTAGAAAGAGAAATTTGTATAAAAAAAAAATAACCGGAAAAATTCTATCAAACTAAAACACTTCTGCGAGTCACTGTAAATAGTTTTGTTTTGAACAGGTCAGTATGGCGGAAAATGTAGGAACGTGCGGTGGAATTTAGCAATAAAAGCGGCTTTGCTATATTTTGTACATATTTTCATTTTCTTCTTGTACTTCACCTTAAGCATCTTTCTTGCACTCAGCGTCTCCTCCCACCCCACTTCCCTTGGTTATCGCCTGCTACCACCATAGGCAGTATTTTCCATCTCGCTTTTCCTTCGCTCTGCCATCGTGTTGAGCACTTTAAACTTTTGACTGCCAATCATGTCTTTGAATTTGCTACGTTAAGTCAAACTTTTAATTAACCGAATATCGATAAAAGCGTGAACGTGACAATAGCGGCACTTGACGTATTTTGGCTGTCAGGTAAAAGGTTTAGAGCTTGTAGGCAATTATAAAGTGTATGGCGTTATTCTTTATTGAAAATGAAAGAAAATTTCGCTGGCTAATTTATTATGCCGCCAACGTAAGCGCCATTTGGAAACATTTAGTGTGACGGCATAAACTTACTACCGATATGATGGCGCATTTTGTCAAGTAGGGTTTTATTATTTCACAAAGTACACTCTCTGCCTATTAGTGTTAAGAAAAAGTATGAACTCTATTAAACAGTTAAAAAAAAAACATTTTTTATAAGCTTTAAGCAAAATTATTTATTTACTGATATATTCAAAATTTAAACGCCTGATATCAGACTAATTTAAGAGGAAAGAGGCTCAAGAGATTACTCTTGCATATCTAATAAAGTTTGGCAATGCAAGTTTTAAATTTTCACTTTCGACATTGGCAATCCTTTAACTCCCAAACCAGTAACCTTAAAGGTATTTCCGGCTGGAGCTGGTTGATCGAAATACGCCGACGTAGTTACAAATAAAATATCCAGATTAGGTCCACCAAAAGCTACGGAAGTGATTTGCTTGGTAGGCAGCTTGATTTCTTGAAGTATTTCAGATGTCCTAAAATGTTGTAGAAAATAAAAGAAAAATTAGTAAAATAAAAATAAGGATGTTTTTTGAGGAAACAAATGCACACAAATATTATATCAACGCTAAATTACATCGTTTAAGGTCTTGCATATATTTGAATTAAAATTTAATCTTTTTCAATCCCAACCAATATAATCTTCGGCAAATGCATTACAGAAGTTAATACAAGTATATATGGAAGCATTTCCCTATATTTCGTTAGCCATCCTATCCCTTCCTATTGCACTGGTTTACAGCAAAAACAGCACACTGGACTCCACTATCTAATGCCTATTTAGAATTTATCGCTGATTCCAAAAGTCGAGCGGATTTTTTTCTATGGATAAGTTTTCGAGATATTTTCAATTTACCGTATATCTTGCCAACCAACTTAACAATTTTATTACAGTCAATCAATAAAGTTTAGGTACAGTGATTTTTTTTTTGCAATACGGGCAACTTTTTATTAGTTATTTTATTATTCGCAAATTTTTTATAAAAATATTATAAATATTCAACAACATAAACCCCAAAAATCAGAGCCCCCAACATTGTGCAAGTTTAAAAAAAAATCTGAAAATTTTCATCAAAATATTACACTTTTTAGTTACACTCTTTAGAAAATTCGAGTATGTAGGTTTATAGCCCATTCAATTTTATTATAATAATGTGCAAGTTTGAGGTAGCTAGGACTAGCCAATGTTTTTTGACAAATTTTTTTGGTGAAGGTGTCCTTCATTTTCTCGTTCCTGACGTCAACCTATCAGAAAAACCGCACTGACTTTTTCAACAGCCCAATATAATAAAAACTTTTACCGTCGTTTCGCAGACGATTAGAAGTTCATAGTCTTAGACCGATCGCACAGGTCTAAGGCTATCATCGGTCAACACCACACAGATGCACCACTCATTCACATATCCACAGTGAGGCGTGACAAATAATAACTTTGCGCCTAAACTACTAAAAATAATCGATATTCTGGATCAGATAATAGTGACGAATTTAGTTTTGTTTAAATGTGAAAGTAGGCCATTTGGCAATATCTACTTTGTTTAAATGTAAATTGAAAACGAGCTGTGGTGTTCATTTGTCACAGAGTGGTCAATAGCTTTGCAAAATATTTATCGACAGAACTAACTACTAAATACGTAAATTTTTCAACAAATAAATAAGACTAGCATGAATCCAATAAAAACTGCAGCTTAGAGTCCCGATCTTATATCTCAGTTTTCTAAAAAAAATATCTATATTATAATCCTATAAAGTTAATATGTTTTGACGAATACGAAAATAACTACAGTGTGATTGCTAGGCTATTAAAAAACCAAAAGCAAAAAGTTGCTGTAGAAAATGAACCTATAAAAAACTGAACCTATTTATAAGTGAACCTATAAACATTCTACTACTAGTTTAATTTTACACACTTACCGTGGATTAACTTTGTAGACAGTATGCCCTGTGAATGTAGCAATATAAATGTTTCCTTCAGAGTCAATCGTCATACCATCAGGCCAATGTTCAGCATGCTTGAAGACAACCTTTGGGTTACCTGCAGAAGAAAATATTTTTTACCACTAAAAAGGCTTTAATAGCGCACGAAGTTTCTCACTCACTGGGCACACCCGTATCAAAATCGTAGTCATACTCCTTGACCTCCAAATCCATTGTGTCAATATAATAGAATTTATTTGTCTTCTCATTCCAAGCCAGCCCATTGGAAATACCTATTTCCGATTTTATGGGCGCAACCGGTTTACCCTTCTCAAATCTATACAATTCACCAGTGCGCTTCGTCATGATATCAGGAAACATGGTACCAGCAAAAAGGCGCCCACGTGGATCCGCTTTACCATCATTTATACGATTGCTAGAAAATTCATCGCCTGGTTGTACTGAATAGGCAATGCGTTCCACTTTAGCGCTGGGTGATACACCATCCCAAGCAACAACCGCAACGCGACGTCCACAACCTACAGCAAATTTACCACTTTCCCCGTCAACGGGTATAATAAAGGAGGCGAGATTTTCACCCTCAACTATGGCACTGTAGGTTTTATTTTGTTCGTAGTCATAGCGAAATAGTTTGGCGTTATCGATATCTACGAAATAAAGACTTTGTGTTTCAATATCCCAGTGAGGGCCTTCACCAAGTAGACCATGAGAATTTGGTAGCTCTTCGAGTTTGTAGGACATCTGAAAATACAAGTAATGAAAAGTTATTACAAAAACTTTTATTAAAATTTTTATTGTTTGCCGTTAGGATTTGTCGACAAGTAATACCAAATCAGAAATTAATGTATAAGTGTCTGAATTATCAGCTGAGCGAGATCTCCGCAGTAAGAGCAAAAGTGCAAGTAAATTATAATGTCAACAATTTTATTGCATAGGTTGAGACCTAAGTGATTAGTAGAACATAAGAAAGTACTTGGGACTTGTTCGACGAACAAAGTAAAGGCATCCACGAAAATTAAAAAAATTATATAAAATTTTAGGAATCACACCATGATTTGAGAGATACGTACATATGTACATGCTTTTTAATTGCAATTATTTTTTTTTAATTTTGACTTTGATCGCCTACAACTCAGTGAGTTTATGAAATTATATAAATAAGTTTCAATAATATATCAAATTTATCAGATTTGAAGTCAATTTTTTTTTTAATATTTGATATTAAAAAAGTAGTTTTTTCAAACCCCTGTAAAGACTTCTAATCTTTTTTTTAATTTTTAAGACTTCGTGATTGTCTTCATTTTGTACATATTTAGACCAAGGGTCGCATTTTTAGGCAAAGATGTATATTAAAAGGCTTGAAAACTGCGTTAGTGGATTTTCATTTTTCATTTTGAACCACTTTTTGGAGCGGTCATCGGGTCAGTTTTGGCGTTTAAAAATAAAAACGGTTCGGTTAAGAGTGCGAATAAAGCACCGGCTCGGCTCAAAAACCGGTTTGCGGCCCTGGAAAATACCCATTCTCCATAAAATCTGTTTACTTGTTATAAGAACTTAGAACATTCATAAAAAAGTTTTTGAACGAATTTAAAAAGTAGTCACCACTTTTCCGGCCCTTTTTTAATAACTTTTATGCAAACGGGTATATCATATTTATCACCTTCATTCGCCTTACGTATGTATATGTATGTATGTGTGCATTTTTTCCTACCAGCAAAATTAAATACTTTGTGTTTGCATAGCAATTGATAGGAATGCATATAGATATTTTTTTTTTTATAATTAACCCACAGCACTCTCAAACCACGTTGAAGTTTATAAAAAAAAAAAATCCATTGTGCCTACTTTTATACATACGTATGTACATATGTGTGCATCTTTATCTCGTTTACCTTCTGATTCAATTAATTTTTATTCGTCTTTCACTTTCGTACGAGTAAATTCGCGCACAAATCACCGGTTTTGCAAATGTTTGGCGTCTGAAGTGATATTTGCGAGCTTTGTTTATTTATATAAAACTTGGAAGAATAACTTATCTCGCTCTATGAAAATGAAAAGTATACGTAGCTCCCTACTCTTATCTCACGTTACTCTTACATATTTTCTAAGAGTACTATTACTATTTATTTGTACTTAGTGTTGCGATAATCTTTCGACAAATATAGTATTAAATTCGTGCAATGGTATTCGAGAAAAGCTGTTTGTTAAACTTCAACTACAGTGCTCCCTCGATTATAGTCACACTTTGCTATAATAATAATTGAGTTAAGCGATGAAGATGAATACGAGAACTAATCAAAAGTCTTACATCAAAGCTTTTTTATTGTTGGGGTTTAATAATTTCTGTAGTAAAAATTTTGGTTGTCATCAAGTTGCATTCTTGTTTTTTTGGCAACCACCTAAAGCGCGTTTATTGAGTCTAAAAAATGATGTGGGCAGTGAAGTTCTAGATTTCGTATTAGTAAAATTACAATTATAATTATAATTACAATATTAGGGGTATTCTCCAAGTCTTCCACGATTTGCACGGATTGCACAAAATGCAAAAATGCTATTCCAAATTTGGTTTGGCTTGCGGCAACCACTTTATCTTAACCCTTTTTGTGACATTTTCCATGTTAAAGTTTGATATTTTTCATTCGCAATGAGTCAAGTTTTATCAAGTGGGCCACCCTAAATTGACTTCTCGATTTTTTAACCGACTTCCAAAAAAGGAGGAGGTTATCAGTTCGTCGGAATATTTTTGTTTTTTACGTATGTTAACGCATAACTTTGGACCACGTCAACCGATTTTCGATAATTCTTTTTGCATCGGAAAGGTAGTGTCTCAGAGGTGGTCGCATACTAATCTGGTTAAGATCCGATCATTGGATCATGAAATATAGATATATATATATGTTTTTTTTAAGTCGGTTTTTTTGATAAAAATTACTTTTGTTTTTTTTTAATTATTTTTTTTTTTTAGTATGTTAGAATTTATTGTGCAACAAAATTAAGTCAGTTCGTAAAATTCCGATTCTTGTTTTATAAAAAATTTATTTTTTTCAATTGAATTTTTTTTTACCAAATTCTCATATACCTATCAAAGAATTCAAAAAGCATTATTAGCACTAAACATTCAATTTTACTTTCATAAAAAAGCTGAAACTTTGATTGACTTAAAGCTTTTTACCAAAATATTGAATCAAGTTTAAAAAATATAATACAGATGAACTGAAAAGCAAAAAAAAAAAAATAAAAAACTAATTTGATAATTCTTGATTTGATACTTAAGTTTGCAAGAAATCGGTTATTGCGATTTTCCTTCAGTGAGCCGTAAAAGGATAGGTTTTTATAGAAAAATGCGTATCTACTTCTTAATTTGCACTGTCATCGCATAACAGTCATACCTAAATTGGAGCTTCACGCGCCAAAGAGCTGTCAAAAATCCGCATGCCCATACAATTTTTATGAAGCATCCCACAAAAACGAGGCGTTAGCGCTGAGCAAATGGAGTTTAATTTTAGACAGTGCGTATGGTCCTCAAGTTGGGTGCTGCAGAAGACAAGAAGACAAAAAGGAAAGAGGAAACGAAAGGAAATGAGAAAACATTTTACAGGTTTATTTGGGTAGGTATTTAGAACGCGCGCTGACACTTATTGGCGTTGGAAAACGCAGCGCTTAACGCCCTATATCAGGCTTTAAGCAATTTTGGTCTAGTCCAATAAAGCACACCAGTCGTTTGTCTGCTATGCCAACTCAGGGAGAGCGTTCCGCGTTCAATTCTCTACTTTTTTGATAGCGTTCTAAAAAAACGCCTTAGCCGGAGTTGCCGCGCCAACGCCAAAAAATGAAAAGCGCTAGCGCCATTAACACCAAGAAACACATGAGACACACACACATTTCGCCTTAATTCTTTGAAAACGTAAGCGTGAACGTAAGTGCCAGTTGGAAACATGCATAGTATTTTAGTGTGACGGCATAAACCAACTACTGATATCAAGTAGTTTCATTACTTCACAAAGTACACTCTCTGCCCATTAATGTTAAGAAAAAGTATGAACTTTATTACTGTTGTTACGGTACATTTTATAAGCTTTAAGCTAAGATATTTATTTACTGATAAATTAAAAATTTAAACGTCTGAGATCAGACTAATTTAATTAAAAAAGTTTGGAACGAAACTTTTTAAATTTTCACTTTCGACATTGGCAATCCTTTAACTCCCAAACCAGTAACTTTAAAGGTATTCCCGGCTGGAGCTGGTTCATCGAAATACGCCGACGTAGTTACAAATAAAACATCCAAATTAGGTCCACCAAAAGCTACGGAAGTGATTTGCTTGGTAGGCAACTTGATTTCCTGAAGTATTTCAGATGTCCTAAAATGTTGTAGAAAATAAAAGAAAAATTAATAAAATAAACATAAAGATTTTTTTAGAGGAAAAAAACAAATGCAATACAAATGATATCAATTTTGAAGCTATTAAAGTATATATTTAGAAATAAGGGATGCGATGTTTAGATGCTTTGCAGAAATCAACATCGACGCTTACATCGTTTAAGGTCTTGCATATATTTCAATCAAAATTTTATCTTTTTCAATCCCAACCAATATAATCTTCGGTAAATGCATTACAGAAATAAATACCAGTATATATGGAGGCATTTCCCTATATTTCGTTATCCATCCTATGCCTTCCTATTGCACTGGTTTACAGCAAAAAAAAGCACACTGGACTCCACTATCCAATGCCTATGTAGAGTTTATCGCTGATTCCGAAAGTCGAACTGATTTTTTCTATGGATCAGTTTTCGAGATATTTGCAATGTACCGTATATCTTGCCAACCAGTTTAACAATTTTATTACGAAACACGGCAAATGAATGCCAACAAAATTTTTGATAGGCCTGATAGTTTCTGAGAATTTAACTAAAAGTCATTCCAGATCTTTTGTTTTTATTTTTGTGAAAAAAATACTAGAACAATATCAAAATTTACTAGGAAGAATAACAGATTATGTGTCAATGTATTTATGCCATGTACATAGGAGTAACACTGCTTATATTTCACACAAAAAAATATTTGCGCATTTTAATTTGACCATTCATTCATTTTTAGTTATACGTCAGTTTTCTTCAAAGGTATCTTGATTTTTTTTTTTAATTTTTTGTAGCAGAAAACACTTTAACACAAATGAAAAAATTTACACAGAATCTGTTATTCTTTTATTTTTTTTTTGTTGTAGTTTGAATTTTGTTTTCCATTTTTTCATAAAAAAAAACAAAAAAATCTGGAATGATTAACTAATTTCTCAGAAGCAACGCAAACTAGAGTTATGACGTTTTAAGATTTAAAAGCATATAGTGGCACAACCATGATTTAAAACACTGCAGAAGTTACGTGGATTTGTTTAAATATAAAACAAATTCTAACAGCCAATTTCACGAAAGCCATTTAAGTGAACAATGATTTTAAATTTTCAAATTTTATACGGAAATTGACAGAAAATAAAAAATCAATTTCCATTAAAATTAATAACTTTCAGAAAAACCTTTTGGGATATTTTAGCTTCTGAAATTATTTACTGCGTAGTATGCATGACCCCTCAGCCGTGTAACTGGTATCGGAAACTTGCACTTTTTTGACATTTGCCTAAAAATAAAAAAGGGATATTTTAACAAAATAAACTAAAAAGAAGGCAAGCTCACCAGATTTAGCTAAACATGTTAGAAACGAGGTTTTGTCATCGATTTTTAAATACTTAACGCAAAAAGCTTAAATTTTTTTCATAGCAAAATCTGCCAAAAATGAAATAGATGTGTATACATTGAAAAACCAGGACAATTTAAGTGTGGACCAGGACACCAGAACAATTTGTTTAAACCAGGACAAATCCCGGAAAACCGGGACATCTGGCAGCCCTAGTTTAGTTTGAGTGTGAAAGTAGAACATTCGGCAATTTGAAAAGTTGCTGTAGAAAATGATGTACTTTAAAAGTCCAGCTAGCAAGTAAACCTATAAACATTCCACTATGTACTAATTTAATTTTACACACTTACCGTGGATTAACTTTGTAGACAGTATGTCCTGTGAATGTAGCAATATAAATGTTTCCTTCAGAGTCAATCGTCATACCATCAGGCCAATGTTCAGCATGCTTGAAGACAACCTTTGGGTTACCTGCAGAAGAAAATATTTTTTACCACTAAAAAGGCTTTAATAGCGCACGAAGTTTCTCACTCACTGGGCACACCCGTATCAAAATCGTAGTCATACTCCTTGACCTCCAAATCCATTGTGTCAATATAATAGAATTTATTTGTCTTCTCATTCCAAGCCAGCCCATTGGAAATACCTATTTCCGATTTTATGGGCGCAACCGGTTTACCCTTCTCAAATCTATACAATTCACCAGTGCGCTTCGTCATATCAATATCAGGAAACATGGTACCAGCAAAAAGGCGCCCACGTGGATCCGCTTTACCATCATTTATACGATTGCTAGAAAATTCCTCGCCTGGTTGTACTGAATAGGCAATGCGTTCCACTTTAGCGCTGGGTGATACACCATCCCAAGCAACAACCGCAACGCGACGTTCACAACCCACAGCAAATTTACCACTTTCCCCGTCAACGGGTATAATAAAAGAGGCGTGATTTTCACCCTCAATTATGGCACTGTAAGTTTTATTTTCTTCGTAGTCATAGCGAAATAGTTTAGCGTTAGGGATATCTACGTAATATAGGCTTTGAGTTTCAATATCCCAGTGAGGGCCTTCACCAAGTAGGCCATGAGAATTCGGTAGCTCTTCGAGTGTGTAGGACATCTGGAAATACGAAGTATATTTGTATGTACGGAATTGTGATATCGTTTAAGAATATAGTAATGAAAAGTTATCACAAAAACTTCTATTAAAACTTTTACTGTTTGCCGTTAGGATTTGTCGACAAGTGATACCAAATCGGAAATTAATGTACGAGTGTCTGAATTAACCGCTTGGTGAGATCTCCGCAGCA